TTTTTCATAATTAGGAAATTGGAAAATAAAAAAGTATGAAAAACTTGGGGGAATAACAACTGCGATTTCGATGATTTATAATATAATACAATAAATGAAAAATGAAAAAAAAAACAAAAAATACAAATTTTTAAAGCAAAATTAATCTGAGATCAACGCTTCGATGAGCTTCATTGCCTATAAAAAAAAAAGAGTATACATTTAATCAAATGATAAGAGTGATAAAAATTAATTATTTCAATTGATAAACGAATAAATCAAATTGATTCGTTTATTAATTTCATTTTTCGAATATTAATAGATTAATAAATTCAATGATAATTAAATTTGCAAATTTAAAATATCACAAAAAAAATCGTTGCAGTTAATATTCAATTCGCTTGTTCCATTATTTCGATAATTTTCCATTCAAAAATATTCCGATAGGCGAATAATTTTCATTTCTTTTTCATTTTTTTTTCTTGTTTCGTTTTATAAATTTTCAATAATCCAAAAATTTATAAAATAAATTGCGAATTTGTTTCGATTTTAGATAAATCCATAAAATAAAAAAAATTTTCAATCACTTGATAATTCCTTTTTGAATTCCCTTTTTCGAAAGCATGCACTTTCTTTTTTTTTTTTTTTGGATCGTCGAAATTGTCGCGAATATTTCTATTAATATTTCGAAATATATCCAATATTATATATAAATATAGAAAAATATTTTGAATAAATTTCTTTGTTCCATTAAAAAAGAAACAAAAACGCATTAAACACAAATTATTTCTCGAATATTGTTTTTTTAGAAAAATTCTCCAAAATAGAAATAAAGAAAACAAAAAAAAACGATAATTTTATATAAAAAATTCTTCTTCAATTTAATAGATTTTAATAAAAAATTTTTTTTATGAAAGTCGATGAATAAAATATTTTTTTTTTTTTTTTTCTAGGAAATATTTCAGTAGAAATTCAGTAGAAATCATTTTCAAGAAGAAATCAAATAAATAAATATTTAATAGAATAAATCACCGTATATATCACTATTTAATCGCCAAGGCGGTAGACAAACATCCATCGCTCTAATTAATTTTTATCAGTGATTTAGCAATTCGAAATTTCTAATAATTATACTAAAAAGAAAAAAAAAAAGTAAAAGGCGGGTTTAAATTGAAAAAAAAAAATTGTGGACCGGTTCATCTTATATTAAACGAGTATCACTCTAACTTCTTTTTCCTTATCTCTAATTTAATTATATTTTTTATTTAATCTAACATTTTTTTATCTCTATTTAATTATATTTTTTATTTAATCTGACATTTTCATTATCTCTATTTATGTATATTTTTGTTTAATCTAACATTTTTCTTATCTCTATTTATGTATATTTTTTATTTAATCTAACATTTTCATTATCTCTACTTAATTATATTTTTTTATTCTATTATATTCATTATCTCTACTTAATTATATTTTTTTATTCTATTATATTCATTATCTCTACTTAATTATATTTTTTATTTACGCTGACGTTTTATTATCGTTTATTCTATTATGTTTTTTATTTTCTAATGTTTTCAGATTCTTATACTCTTATTTAGTACGTCTCAATGACTCAATGGGAAGATAATTGTCACCGAGGATCGAGGCTTGGGTTCGAATCCGCCGACGTACCAGTTTTCTTTAACTGTCGCATTATTTTGGAGAAGAAGGATAAGAGGTGAGAAGAAAAACTCAAAGGGTTGTTGCTCAATTCGGAGCGCTGATGTTGAGGTTCTACTCACGGTATGAGCAAGTCTATCCAAAAGTGCGGATAATATTTGTCTAGTCGGAGCTGCCATTTGAGCGAGTCTAACCAATAATGATGAATGCTCTCGAGTCGTTTGGGGATAGCGATGGGTCCAACAGCCACCCGAATTTTTGATATTATAATATTTTTTTTTGCTTTTATTGAAAATAAGGAGGTAAAATTTGAGACGAAAACGATAAAATAGATATATCAAAAAACTGAAAAAATTGAAAATTACATTTTAAAAAGACTTATTATGTGAACTCTCAAAACTTATATTGATTTCAAGAAATATTACATGAATAATATTAATATTAATAATATTTATCAGTATATTTTTATTTACCTTAGCGAAGAGTATTTAAAAGACCCGACTGCTCACAATCGATAGATCTCTGATCATCCTGATGGTTGACGTCAAAAGCGGGGCCAATTAAAACATGGAATGATAATGATATATCCAGGAAGGATTTTGAACGTATAGAGGGACGTGCGATATAGAAATGAATAAAAAAAGGAATGGCATTATTAGCAATGGCATCAGGTCGAACAACTTGAAAATATCTCATCCTTATAGCCAGTTCAGCCAGTAATGGTGAGAGCTGTTAGAAGAAATGCCAAAATTACCATTTCTATCTTTTAGCTGTGACAGTTGAGAGGTTATTTTTAGCGACCAAATAAATAAATTTATAACGTCAAATAAAGCTAAAAAAAAACATTACAAAATTTTGTCTGAGTTTGGCTAACAAATATGAGAGAATTGCATAAAATTACTATATGTGAATCTCTTCCAGAAGATTTATATTAGCTAGCTGGCTAGCTAAACGCATAAAATTAACTGCATTTGCCATGTCATAAAACCTCATGTATGATATTTCTTTAATTTTATTTGAATTCTTACTTTTACCACTTATTTGGGGAACTAAGAGGTACTTTCCTAATTTCTTAGCCAATCAGCCATATCAGTCATCGGTCGTTATGTCGGCATTTGTGAAGTTCCAATTTATATTCATTCTGCTTTCCTCTTATTCATCCTCCATTAAAATAGATTTATGAAAACGATTTTATATCGAAGAAATTAATAGAATTTATAAAATTCGATTTTGAATAATAAAATAATAATAAATTTTGAGATTAACTAGAGAAGGAATATCATTCAAGAAGGAACGAAGGAATACAGAGGAATACGTGGTGGTATGCAATCAACGTTGCTGCGTAATTCCTGTCTTCCGGTGGAAGTAAACCTTTTTCCCAAATGAGAGAGAAATTTGCTCGATGTGGCGAGGACCATCTGAATTTTTGTTAACAAATCATGCTGGTTGTTTTTATAATAATCAACGATTTTCTTCGAATTCAACAAATTTTTTTTAACAATTTATAATTTTTATCATTTTTTTATTTGATATATTATTGTAAAAATATTGCTCAATTGGGAGCGCCGATGCTGAAGTCCCGCAGAAGTAAACCTGTACAAAAATCCGGATGATGCTTGGCGACTCCCCTGTATTTCTATCGCCAAGGGACTCCCTGGCTTATTGTCCAATGCGACAGGCCAGTGGAGCGAGCCTAATCAGTAATGGTGATGACTCCTTGAGAGATAAGAGAGTAATTATAAAAATATTATAAAACTGCTTGTATTTTGCATTAAAAAATTTCTTTGATCGTTTTATTTGATTGTATAAAAGGCTTTAGAATTCTGAAGAATAATTAAATGATAATTTAATTGATAATGATTAGAAAAAAAAAACGATCACATTTTATCACATTTTAGTGACCAAATTTTTCTAAATTTATCATTTCCTATCCAGCAATGGATAAATTTTATTTATGAGCATTCGAGATCGAATTCAACTTTCTGGACATATTTACTGGAAAATATAACTCTTTCATTATTTCTTTCACAAATTGAGAAATTTTTATTGGAAGAAGATTCGAGATTTTTTAGGAGGATGAAGTTTGATTTCGAAAAATATTTTATTTAATTTGATTGATAAATATGAATCATACAATCATAAATTTTATCAGAAAAAAATTTTTTTCAACAGAATAATTATAAAAATTTCCAAAACATTTGTTTATCATGAATCAAGGAGATTTTATTTTCTACAGCCATAATGCTCAGCTAGAAATATTTCATTCCTAAATCAAAGCGAAAATTTGCATCTATCTGATTGCATTCGCACAATTTATTGTCTTGTATGGCTAAGAAAAATAGCCAATGCGATAGTTTTTATATTTTTATTAACATTCCAAGCAGATAGAATCTTATACAGTTGCATTTATTTACGCTCAAAAAAACTGTTGATAGTTGCTTTCACCAAAGAATGCCAATTTCATTGGTTGGATTATAATGATCACTGATAATGATAAAAATATATCTATCATAATATCTCTTTACATGCAAAGCTTTGTGGTTGATTATATCGAAAGTTAGAATATCCAATAGATGATCAGCTAGTGTAAATCAAGAATATTTTTAATAAATAGCCCAGCCTTGTACGGAGAATTGACATAGAATTGGAATCTGATAAAGGCCGAAAGACTTATTTCCACTCTTGAAATACGATTTAGCTCAACCAGTAATTATGAGCGATATAAGAAATATTCCATTTAATTTTATCAAAATATCTTTCAACAACAATTCAGCAAATTGAAACCCCGTTTGAATCCTATTGATCATATTATGATTATATTTCTGTGTTCAGAATATCTTCAGCATCTTCAACTTACGAAAAAATTTATAATTATCAATTATTTCAAGTATTATTATAAGTTGATTTATCGAAATTATACGAAATCCACATCATATTCTCCAAGAAGAACAACAAGCAGAAATCCTGTATTTTCAAGTTTAAGTTTCAAGCTTTTCTGAAAAATGGTTATTTAGAAAAACGATGATTCTAAGACCAATAAAAATGGGCAGCGAAATATATGGTAGAAGAGCTAAAAAATAAACATTTTTATTACTTCTATTATTAACAGAGATCTTAAAAACTTTTAAAAATTTCAAAACTTCAAAAAAAATTAAAAACATTTTTCCTGCAAAAAAACACTTAAAAACCAGGTAATATGTGTAGATTTACACATGGTTTTGAAATAATGAAGACTTCGCTTAACTTCATAGCAACAAAGGCCAAATTTAAAAAAGAACCATTCACATCGAAATTGTTAAAAGCAAATAAAGAGAACAAGGAACGTGTCAAAAAAAAAAAACAAGAAACGGCTGTAATAATTAACGTGTACGGAATGCGCCTCTACCACGTGGACCTCCTCTACCACGGCTACGTCCACGTGGACCTCCTCTACCAACAGCTCGTCCACGCCCACCTCGAGCTGCTTTCTTACGAGGTTCATCATCCACAAGAAGTGTATCCAGTGCTATCGAATCCGGCAATCTAATTTGGCGAATATTATTTCCTGCAAAAATAAGGGAAAGCCAAACTTAAAACATAGAGAAAAATTATAAATTATAAAATATAAAGGAATCATAAGAAAATCATAAGAAAAAATTAAAATCATAAGAAAAAATTATATGAAATATTCAAGGATAGTGAAACCAGTCTTTAGGGCATCTTGATAATCAAAATTGGCTTATAAAAAAATTAGAACCCAAATTCTAATTGATTCTAATGGTTTCTGTTAATAAATATTTTATAAATATAAATATTTATATAATATTTATATAAATATAATATTTTAAGCGATTTAATAAAAGAAAATTTAATATATTTTTTATTTTTCTTAACTCAATAAAACTCAAATTAATATAATACTCTTATTTTCATTGAACACTATCGAAAAAAACGACTACGGTTATTTAGTAGAAAAAATAAATAATAAATAATAAAAGAAATAAATAAAATAAAATTTAAAAAAATACTATTTTAAATTTTCAAATGAAAAAAAAAGGAAAGATTTCGCTTAATAATCTAGATCAGCTTCAGAGTAATTGTAATTCATTTTCATGAAATTAAATATTTCATCGAACCAATAAAGCGAATGAAACCACAAACCTAACAACATATTTCTTGATTTTATCCCCTAATTTTCAAAAAAAAAAAGAGAAAACCAACCTCTTACTGATAATGTGTCGAGAGAAACAGCCTCACCGTTTCGATGTCGTACTTTAACTGCTCTTAAATGCATATTCATCGCAACATCCACACCATTTATTGTACCTTCTACTGTAGTTCCATTTTTCAGTTCAATTGTTACCGTTTCATGAGCAAGTTTCATCAAAAAACGAACCAGTTTCATCGTTAAGTGATAATCTATAAAATATTTTTATCATTTATCATTTGCTAATAAAAGAAAATTTTATGTATTTTACACGAAATTAAATTTTTCATTAATTTTTAAATTGATCAATATTTTAAGAGAAAAAATTTAAAAAAAAAAATATGCAAATTTTAGAATTTTTAATTGTAAGCAATAAAAATGGAACAGTGGAAACTATTTAGCATTTCAACAACGTATCTCTTCCGATATTTCGTTTAAAATGAAGCAAAAAAAAAAGCGAGAAGATTGACGAATTTAACGACCAAATTCGATATGAAATCAACAAAAATAAAAATGCAAAACAAGACGTTCATTGTCAATATGATTTTTATAACGACGTCTCAAATATACACACTTTATAAAATATTTTAAATTGATCAGATTATCAGTAAAATGAGGAAAAAAATTTCAGCCGATAGCTTTAAAGACTAATTTTGAAAAGCGCCTATTATTTTTGGTCAAATTCACGCGGTCGGTTTGCCAGATCAGATGAAATCTACCAGGAAAACACCACTTGACTGCAATGCACCTAAGTCACCAACACTATCACAGTCTTTCAATTTATTTGTACCCAAAGCTGAAACCAAATATCAAGACCACTTTCCCGAACGATAACAAAGAAAGTTACCGTAGTCGGATTTTCGTTATAAGATAAATAATTTTAAATTAGATCGTAGCTTTTTTTGAGAGTACCGCAAAAATTATATAAGTTAGAAATAGAAGTCGAAGTATTATGCGAGCTATTAGTATATTATTAATATTAATAATAATATATTAAAATGATATGGTTTCATATGTTGCATAACGAATTTGCGAGGGATCCACTGGATACAAATGGGATTTGCAGCGGGCATTGACGAACTTTTAAAAGATAGCAATTGATAGATCTAAGCTATTCAAAATCCCACATTACGAGAGACTACGAGAGATATTATAATTGAAAAAATAATAAATAATAATAAATAATAAAAAATAAATATCATAAAAAAAAACTATAAAAATAAAAATTCATCTTTTGTATTTTAGTATTTATTCTAATTAACTATGTTAAGTACAATGTTTTTTATTGCTTTGTATAAATATTTATATATTAAATATTTATAATTGCAAATATGTATATTTTAAAGTTGTTTATTAATTTTAAATTCCATGAAATATTTGTAACAATTTTATTTATTATTAACAAATTTCTCGATTTTATAAAGTTATATTTATATTTATATTTAAATTTATTTTATATTTACATTTAAATTTTTATCAATTGAATTTTATTAAACGAAAATATTTATGAAATTCTTTCTTTTGATAATTTTGAAATATCGCTTTAACTGATATCGCTTATGAAATACGTATAAATATATTTATATTTATATATATTTTATATATATATATAAAATCTTATTAAATCCCAAATTATTATCAAATATCAATAAATCAATAGAAGCTAAAGGTCATCAAAAAAAGACTTATACTTTTTATAAATGTAATGATACATAATTTAAGATTTTTTATATTTGGGAAAATCCATAAATCTTGTTGAATTTTAATATTTTCATTTTATTAAATTACATTTACATATTATTATTAGAGGCATTACGAATGCTTTCGGAAAATTTTTTTCATACTGGATTGCTTATCATTTCAGGCTTCACTGATTAATTCGATAACGGTCATTGCTTCATCGATCGAAGAGTTACTTGGAGTTCGACTTTCATTTTCAATAACTATTTTTTCATCAATGAATAGAAATTAAATAAATCTATGGTGATTACAAAATTAATATCGAATAATTGTTTTCAAAATTCGAAGTGAATATTAGCGATTCGCATTTATTTATTTTTCGGGCTTACTTCTTTTTTTACGTTCTAATAACAACCAATTGAAGAAGCTACAATTGTCTCGAAATGGTGAGCAATCATCACTTATCACTTTATCACTTATAAAATATTCATATATTAGTAGAAATGTTGCAATATTTTCATGTTAATAAATATAAATAATAAGCAATGTTTCGATAACGATACGATTTTGTGGGAAGTCATTTAATTTGATCGAACCATACTTAAGGCGAATTCTTCGGTGGACTCTCATTTGAAATGTTATGCATTGGCTTGAATTTTATAAATTTTTTCAAAAAATTTTTATCGTTAAACTATAATTTTAAAATTTTAAAAGCTTATAAATTGCTTATTATTTTCGATTAACAATAATGATTAATTTATTATTTAGCAATAATAATAAAAAAAAATTATTGTATTTTTATCGCCAAATAACCCTTAGGCAAAAATTTTCTACTCCGATAATCTTTGAGAAAAAAAGAGCTATTATATAATTGTAATTTCACAATATACTTATTATATTGAATTAATGTTATCATGAATGATAATGATTCAGTCGAGATTAATGAAATCTATTAGCTTAGAAATCAATGATGAAAAAAAAAAAAATTAACAAAAATTACTAATATATTTATTTTTAAGGCCAAACGCTGAAGATGGAAAAATTATTCGTGGTTCTCTTCATATTAAATTTGGCCGCTAACGCTAATTGTTTCTTCTTTTTTGGACCGGTTTTTTTTTTTCATCATTGAATTATGATTATTTTTATTTGGTTCTATCCTATAGTGTTTCGTTCGTTCAAATTATTATATTAAAAATGAAAGAAACGTTTGAATTTTGAAAATTTTTAAAAAATTTTTATTTTTGTAAAGTTTTTCATTTATCGCTTTAATTTTCAAATTGTTAATAATGTTTATTTCTAAGTTTCAACATGGTCGACGTCCAGCTCCTCCTCCTCCTCCTCCTCCTCCTCCTCCCTCAACCACAAGACCTCCAACAACTACAACTACTACAACCACCACTACTACGACCACCACTACTATAACCACAACACTCCCAACAACTACGGCAATAGAAGTTTGTAATTTGCACAGAATTTTCTTTTAAATTCTCTTTGATTTCCATTGAATTTAAGAAATTTTTTTTAAATAAATAAAATTTCGTGTGTCAAAAGGAAAAAATTTTGAAAAATTCTTGCCTTAACTTTACGATTCTATTTATTCATCATTTATTTATTCATTAAAAATATTTTTGTCATTTATATTTCACTCGTTTTGAAACGATATTTGAGGAGAAATCTTCAGGAATTCGACGACACAATATTTATAAGCGAATCCTCAAATGGAGTCTGTGATATGGATTGGATGGAACTGGCAAAACGCCTTCAGGAAGCATTTGGAAAAGTCCACGACGAGTAATAAAGAATCACCAGAAAAACTTCGTCAACACTCGAAATATTATGAATAATCCAGTCAATAATAATTTAATTAATACAAATATATTTGTAATATATTTTAAATAGATTTCATCGGTTTATTCTTTCGCAATTTACAAAATTTTTCTCACCGTTGATGAATTAATTTTGAAAAAAATTTATTTCCTTACCTAAGGCATTATTATAATGTGCAGTAAAATTTAACATAATTTTATAAATAATAAAGTTTTTGCATTGAATTTTAGAAGAAATAATGCAAGCATAAAGATTTAATATTCGACATTTAAAATTCATAGTCATAAATCTGAAGTTAATTCGAGTTGCGGAGACGTCCTCGGGAAATGTTCATTAGGACATTTCATCGAATCAAACTCAAAAATATTCCTATAATAAGAAAATTAAAAATAAAACGAAGTGTTCTTCACAAAACGACTCTGATGATGAATATGCGTGAAAGAAATGCCCCAATAAAGAGATTATCTTGGCCCACATGAAATGGAAATGATTTACAAATGGTAAATAATGAATTTTGCACATTAAATTGGCGTGGTTGAATTTTTCTTCCAACAGTTTTCACCATTACTTGTTAGGCTAGCTCTACTGGCTAAAAAGGAAAGATGTTTCCAAACGGTCTGATGTCATCGTCGACCGTAATGCAAGCCATTCCTTTTTCCATCGTCTAATTCTATGGAATATATTGCTAGTCCACCCTATACTATCCTATATCCTATACTTTCAAAACCTTTCCTGACTGTACCAAGCCAGGACTTGATTAGTTCACGCCATCCATCATAGCGTTTAGCATGTAGCGAAGTATGTGTCAACTCTTGTGGTGGGCGACGAAGAGTGTGTCCCTATATTTTAATTATAGCATTGGACTTATAAAGCTATTTAAACAGCTTTATTTCAACTTTATTATGAGAATTAACTAAATTATTTTATTTTATAATGAAGAAAACTCGATGAATATTTTAACGATTGCCAGTTGTGCGTTATTTATTTAACCTTTTTCTACCAAAAAAATTCATTTCATAAGAATTTTTCGAAGGCTTATTATACAAATTTTGCGTATTAATTTACAAATAAAAATTTGCTAATAATTTCGAACATTTCCGGAAAATTGTCGGAAATTTTTTTGTGCAAAAAATTTAATCTTTATTTGAAAATTTTCATTCATTTTTATATTGCAGTCATTATTGATAGTTTCATAAATCCATAAATTCGGTTAAATAACTATAATTAATCCTGATGACTAGCAGGGCCTACATAGCATGGATTATGGCATGGATTTTATCCATCCTATTAAGCTCTTCAAGATTTACCTTGTCCTTTGGTGATACTATTGCAATCTTTCTTGACTCTTCATCGTAGTTATCTTCTCAAGGTACTTGTAGGCTGTATTTTCGCCATATGTTCTGAATTCGATGATGCTGGCTATTTAAGTCAGCTTCCATCCTTAATGGACTACTTGGGATATTCGTTCATTTTATCTAGCAAGCGAAGCGAGCTTAAATATATCCAACCTAGCCATCACTATTTTCCTTCTCTACTACCATACGGCCACATTTCTCTAATCCAAAGGACATCCCAATGTCCTCGCTGCAGATTTGAGTTAAATGGATGAGCGAGTCAATGCCTCGTTTACTATTTGCATATAATTCGATGTGATCCAAGTAGAAAAGATGGCTGGTTGTAGTCCAGCTCTTGAATTTATATCCATATCTGATTATCTTATTAAGAAGGTTTAGACCTATGCAGAACAACAGAGCATCGCCTTGCTATATGCCTCAGTTGATATCTACGTATGAAAACTGCTTCGAGTGTCGTTTTCCACATTCCCATTGAGTTCTCAAAAATTGTATTTAGAATCCTTTTTCATTATATAGACATTCACAAATCCACGTATGCTCATTGAATCATAGGTTTTCCTATAGTCAATCCAAGCATATGTAGATTTGACTGTTCTGATTTTGAATCTAGAGCGAAGGCCTTATCGATGAGGAGCTGGTGTTTAGGTCCTCTGGTGTTGTTCCCAATATATTTTTGAACTGCTCATACATTGACTGAAATGAAACTTAATAGGAATATTGAGGCACATATTGGTAGTTGGACGGTGTTGTTCCCTTATAAAGGTCTTTCATAATCAATACCTTCCCTTTTTGCGTAAGCCAGTGCTGAGAGCCTGGCATAAGTTAATTCGTCTGTGTCGTTAGGTGCTCATATACCGTTGATATAGTCAATAGGTGTGAATCAGTTATGTCCAGACCAGGTGGTGTCCAACTTTTCATATTTTGAGTCGGATGCTAGATAGCTGGTTCCCATTCTTGAAGATTGCTGTGACTTATTCTCAGATCATGCAGCCATTTTGCATTGGTTTTATGAATCTTTTGTTTCTCCTATATATTTTTTTCAGTATTGTAAAGTTTCTGCTGTTGATGGTTTGTTAACCTATTATTGCACTGAACCTGAGAGAACACCTTGAACGGCTGCTTGGAGAACAGAGCATTTATCTTTTTAGCTTTACTTCCTTGGGGTTTTAAGCTTTACTTTCTGGCCAATGCTATGAGTCTTTGTTTAGCTATCTCGAGGGTTTCTGAAGGTGTAGTCTTTCCATTTTCCAAATATCCGAACATTTTTATTCTGAGCACTTTCCTATAATTCTATCAGTTGTCTTTGCGTTATTTTCCAGCCTTCTCTTCCATAGGCGAATTGCATTTTATTCATCTTGTTTTTATACCCAAGCTTGTTTCTTGTTTTATTTCGAAAATTACAGTGGCTGTAACGTACACCATTAATTAATTCTGTTGTAGTGGCAATAGGAATTTGTGGGATCTCTATTTGCAGTCTCCAAGGCGGAATGACTCCAGTATATGGCACTCTTATATTGAGGTAGGATACGTTAGCATTAAGAAAGTCTTGCCCAAGAATTCAAGATGGAGGCTTTTAGCTGCGATTCGAACCAAAATATTGTCGCCTTTTATTCCATGCCAGTTGACTACCTTTAACCATTAAGTCTATAATACTGCAAATAAAATATGTTACTGCAAATTATTTCCAAATTTTATTATTCATAGGACTATTTGCAGAAATATATTTATCAAAAAACTTTCTCAATTTTATGAAGTTTTGTTTATATTTACTTTAAAGCTCAATTTTATCAGAAGAATTTTATCAAATAACTAAAATAAGTAAATATTTATGAAACATGCACAACAAAATTGAAGTATTACTTTTGTCGATAATTAAATATTAGTAATTTTGTAAATTTATATTAGTAAATTACAGAACTTTAATAAATAATGAAAATGAGACGCTACTTTAGAAAATCTATTATTATTTTATATCGTCAAACGAAGTTACTTTAGGATCGCGAAAACCGAGAAAAGAACTACAATGATAGAACAACTGAAAATTATACTGGACAGTGAGAATGAATTGTTACTGGCTTCTGGAGTTTATCATTTTATCAACAATTATCATGAAGGATTGTCGAAGATCAATGAATGAAGAGAAGATTTTGACAAGCAATTAACCATCATATCAGTAAAATGAATCGCTAATAAGATTGCATTATCAAAAGGATTCAAAAAGTATGAGACACGTTAGCACTAAACAAGCAGCTAGGGCAGTGTTGTATAAAAATTCTACTTTTTATTGTTCTTTTATTACTGGGATTGATTTAAAAAAAAAAAAAGATGGAAAGCAATCAAACTGAAAAATTGTCAAATTAGTCTTTGTCCCCGTGCTTCAACAAGTAACAATGACCTTATTATGCTAACAAACTTTCTTTTAAAATCTCAAGTCATCTAAATGTATTTTCTAGGTAAAGCTTTGTGTTTACTTTGTATAGTTTCATTATAGATCCATAGCAATGAAATAAAATTTATAATTGATTAAATTTATAATAATAAAATTTATAATTTATATAAATTTATAATTGTTACAAATTATTAAAATTATTGAAGATTTATTAATATTACAAATTATTAAAATTATTGAAGTGAAAATTGTACATTCTTCGGTAAAACGGAATTTGAAAGTGATTGTTACAGGAGAAAGAAATTTGTTTAGGTGTAGCGTGTCCATTCTTAGTTACCCGAAAACAACTGCCAGCACAGGATTTCAGAAGTCGAAAAATGTGGAAATGAGAGCTAATTGCTCGCTTCTATAAAAATTAAGTAGGCTTATCAAAAATTTCAATTAGTTTTCAATATCATAATGCATAATTCTGTAGCAAAAACAGTTTCATCGTTTTTGTTTATCATTAACTAAAACATTTGGTTGATATGGAATTGATAATATCTCTAAGAAACTTAGAGCTAATAATAAACAAGATAAAAGTGATAGCACTAAAATGTTGTTGTCAAATAAACAAATAAAATATGTTTCAACAAGATGCGTAAATATTTTCGCTATTAAAATTAGAAAAGAAAACTACAATATTATTACATATAATAAAAATATAATAAAAATAATATTATTTATAAATTAATAGTAGATAAATTAATAATAGTATCTGTAATTTTTTTGCTTGAAAAAAATTTCATATTACTTGTGAAAAATCTAGAAAAATTCTAGAAAATCTAGAAAATAGATTGAAATGTGCACTCCATTTGCATTTTACTATATACATTTCGTTAAAAATTTTACCATAATATTACATCAAATAATTAATTAACTAATTATCAAATCAAATAATCAATAAATGAATAAATGATCAAATAAATAATTAAACAATTATCAAATAATTATATAAAATTTATATATTAAAACTGTTATAAAAATATATATATTATTGTAAAATATATCATTATAAAATATTATATAATATATATAAAAATGTTATAAATCAAATATTATGCATATTATAAATTTGTATATTGCAAATTATAAAAAATTGTATTTATATATAAATTATAAATTATTATTTCAAATTTATTTAGAAATAATATGGAAAATATTTTTAAAAAATTGTTTATGAAA